TTAGCTCATGTCAGCTAACGTTAGCTAATGTTAGCTCATGTCAGCTAACGTTAGCTAATGTTAGCTCATGTCAGCTAACGTTAGCTAATGTTAGCCATGGAGTTCTGTAGAGGAGCAAAGCACCTGGGAGACAGCACAAACTAGGAGGGAAGGAAGGAACAGTGGGGGGCGGTAAGGAATTTTAGAATAAAGTAGAAATGATGGAAGAAAGCAAGGAGGAAGTGAGGAAGGAAGTAACGGTGCAAGGAAGAAAGAAAATAAGAAAGAAGTGAAGAAAGTAAAGGTGGAAAGAAAAGAAAGCAAGGAAAGAAGGGAGGAAGGAATAGAGGAAGGAAGGATGTTTGTGAAGGAAAGAAGGAAAGAGGAAATAAAGGAAAGGAGGAAGGAGCAGTTAGAAAGGAAGAAAGTGAGGAAGGATGGAAGGTAAAAAGAAGAAAAGAGGAGTGGGTAGGAAGAAAGAAAAGATGGTAGGAAGAAAGGAAGGGTGGAAGGACAGGAGAATGAAAGTTGGAAAGGAAAGAAGGAATAAAGAAAAGCATGAAGGAAGTAAAAAGAAAGACTGTAAAGGAAAGATGGAAAGGAAGCTAAAAGGGATCAAAAATAAATCGTAGGTTTTTCAGGATTTGGATTTTTCCTGTGTGCAGCAAAGGAAAGTCATTTTGTCCTCCATCTTTCTTCCTGTCCTTTCCTTCTTTGTTCTTCAGGCTCCTCCCTCCATTTCTCCAATCCCGCCCCCTTCCCCAATGCACCGCCGGTCTCCGGTACCCCTGAGTCCAGCTCCGGAAGACGGAGAGGAAACGGTGGCAGAGACAGCCGACAGCTCGGTCATCATCAGGATGACGCCGCGGCACAAAGGGGAGGAGCTTCTCACCGTGGAGATAAAGGCAGGAGAGAGAGGGGGGGAGGAGGAGAAGGAGGAGACGAAGGAGAAGGAAAAGGAGCCATCAAAGGAGTGAGCTGACAGGAAGCTGCTGCCCTCCACCTGCTCCAAGGAGGAAACCGGACACTCTCAGGTGTAGGACATGCTTCTTCTTCTGTGGTGGATTTTATTGTCACAGAAAAACACATTTTCATCTAAACTGTCACATGACAGGAAGGAAGGAGAAGAATGATGTAAATGAAAGGAAGCAGGAAATAAAGCAAGGACGGAAAGAATACATCCTTCTTTTCTTCCTTCTTCCCACCTTAATTCAGGTTTTTTTCAGGTCTCAGAGTTTCAGAGAACTTTGATCTCACGGAGGTTACTGTCTGGCTGCAGTACCGTCTTTGGCCACACGAACTGACTTACATGTACCAGCCATTAGAACCCAGAGGGGCGCTGTTTCACCACGCAGGAGGAGTGTGTCTGTAACAGAAATGATTAAAGAAACTCATTTTCCCAGAATCCCCGGTTTCTGTCCTGCAGCTTCTTAACCACTGACTTTCTGGGGCCCTCCCTCAGCTGATTTTAGAGGCATGTGTTGGGAACTACAGGAAGCAGCCGGAAGAAGAAGAAGAAAGGCGTGAGCTGCGTCTTCTTCATGTAAAAACAGACTGAACATGTATTTGTGGCGTGTGAGAGATCTGACAGCCGCTGATTGATTTTCCACCGAGAGCTGCTCGATAGCGCTGTCTGACATCAGCTGAGCTCTGAGGACATCCAATGATTTTAGCCGGCAGCTTCCAGGTCATTCAGGGTCACCAGGATGACGGTTCAGGGTCAGCGGGTCAGTTTGGACCTCTGAGTCATGAGGTCTTCATCAGCACACACAAAAGTGCAGCATGTATTTTAATGTCTGAACATGTTGCTTTTCCTATAACCCAGTAAAAATATCATAGTTAGAACAAATGGTTCACTGTTTGAACTCTGAAAGCTTGTTTCTATCAAAGAAAAAAAGATTTTCTGCCATTTATGAACCAAAATTTGCCCAAAAAGTTGCCCAAAAAGATGAAATTTGGGGATACTGAACCTGAAATTTAGAATTTATGATGTCAAAAATGTACTGAAACAAGCTTCTGTTCATAACAAAAACCGCACATAAAAAAATCTAAAATAAGCAATTAAAAAATGAAATCATGAGGCAAGCTTTAATACAATAAAGCCTACAGTCATTTTAGCTGTAGCTGCTGGAGGGCGCTGCTGAGCTTTCTGATAGAGTAAAGAGCCTGGGTGTAGAAGCTCCTGCCCACAGAGCTGCTGCAGCGTTTATACAGGACAGGAAAAGCTTCAGGAAGCGCAGGAAACTGTGTCGGCCGAGCCGAGAAAAAGGCGGGAAAACAGAAACAATGCAGCACAGGAAGCTTCGTGATTACTGCTGATTGTCGAGAGTAGAAGAAGAAATGTGACACTGCTGCTTTGGCTCAGAATTCAGGTTTTATTGTATTTGTACTGAAGCAACGACGTCACTGTAAGAATTAAAAACCAGTTTGTAAATAAAATGATTATAACGAGTGTCTGTGTTTCAGCTAAGATTGCTGCACATTTCATTTCTTCATATTTTGTAGGGAAACATGCAAACACACATGGAAATAAAGGCAAAATCAGAGTTTGCGCGACTCCGGTGAGCTTAAAGCGAATATTTGGTGTAGCACCTTTATTCTCAGGGCTTCTTGGATGTTCAAAGCTCTTCTTTGGGTGTTTCTGCCTTTCCTTCTGTTCTCTGTCAGGATGATCCCACACTGCTTCAGTAACGCTGAGGTCCGACTCTGGGGAGGCCGACCCATGACCGATAGACCAGGTGTGCTTTTACGGCATTGTTATGCTGAAAATGAAGCTGCTGCCAATATGCACATAGTAATAAAACCAGACATAGTAATAAAATAAAATAAAAAGAATTA